TGGAAGTTTGAGACTGGAGGAATGATAGAGGGTTTGTAAAATGGGTGCTGGAGTTGGGTGAACTCTACAAGGGCAGAAGTAGATAATGGTAGCAGGTTTGGCTCGCAAGTACTTGTTTTCAGCCTTGGCGTAAGTTATCAAAGTCTAGGTTAGTCAGATTGTAGATATGGAAAGCTCTAGCAACGATGCCTCAAGGATAAATTAGTTCTAAGGCTATAGTACGCATCTGGAACTCTTGACTAACAAATGTAACAGAGATGTTCTGATGATACAAGGGGGTAGTGTATGTTACAGAGAGTTTAAATAGGTAATCCCCTAATTGGGTTATAGGTATAGCAGCTAGTGTAGAACCTATAATAGTTATCTATATGCAGACTACTTAAATAGGCGCTCAAAAGGTGCACATGTGGCTAGTTGTACTCTCTAATGTAATTGGGGTTCTGCTTATATGAGCTCCCCACCCATTATACTTGAATAAAAATCCCTATGCCAAAGAGGCTAGTTTAAAAAAAAAAAATAATAAAATAAAAAGAGTTAATAAATAGCATGGCTTTATGTTTTATATTATAGTATTAAATTTAAATGAAAATAGCATAGCTTTATATTTAATATAGATATTTTAGAGAAGATGATACATTTAATTATAATTGAATGTTTAATTTTACAGAGTAGATTTTGGTCGAAGTGTTGATTGATTTAATCAAGAGTTAGAGCATTTTAAGTTAGAAATTAAGTCATTTAGTTTTAATTATATTGAATATTAAGATATTTACTTATTTTATTTTTTAAAATAATATATTATAAGATTATAAATCAAAATAAAATTTTTATGAAAATAATAATCAGTAATATAAGTTATAATTTTGTTTAATTATAAAAGTTTTTTTTTTTTTTATTAATACACCGTCAGGGGGACTCCAGATAGTGTACTTTATTTGATTATAATCTACATATTATATTATATTACATTTGAGCTACACTACATAATATTAATCAGTAATTGTATAGATGGAACACAGGTCGAAATTTGATCTATTTTACACTTAAGCTATACAAATCGGGTAGCAGATGAGTGAGGATGACATAGGATATCCTATATATATAGTACATGTATAGTATACTAATCCTACACAAATACTCAAATACGTAGGATAGGTGTAGAATATATGTAAGATATGTGTAGTTGGTTCGTAGACATGTGTGAGATATCCTATATGTCATTGCACAGGATAGATATAGGATAGGTGTAGGATATATCAAATTCGGACCTGTGGAAAGAGTGTTCGTTCTGCTATATTTCAACACTTTGAATTCTTTCTCAATTTTATTCTTAATGATCATAGGAAGTATTGGATCAGAAATAATAGTCCCTCTCTATTTGACTTGTATATAATAACACCAAATTTCATAAATTGCATAAATATGAAGCCATCTTGCCAATTCTCTTTTTTTAGAATCATGAACATTCGAAGCTATAATAATCTCTTTTGCAGTTATCAGTGGAGACACCCCAAGGCCTGTCATGAAGGAGTATACGATTCTCCATATTTTTTTACTTATTCTGCAAGTAATTCCAAAATGTTCATGAGTTTGATTTTCTTCATTATACACTGGGCATTTACTATTTACGTTGCGAGTTATGTGTTTTAGCCTGTAACTCAATAACAATGATTTGTGGCAAAATCACCAAAATATTTCCATTTTTTTGTTATTGATTAGCTTTATCGAACTCCATTTTCACGTTTCCTTATTCTCCTTGTTCACACTTTCATTTCCTTATAAGCACATCCGTAAGACTGACTTTCTCTTCAAAAAACTAACAGCCTTACTCAGTATCTGAAATTGGGTTGCGAAGCTTGCGGACCACAAATGATTTATAAGTTTCCACAACTAAAATCCGAAATGTATATGCTGATTCCGCAAATAAATTTGTGAATTTAATATAGATATGTTCAAATTTACATATAAATACATTCATATGTGCAACTAAATCTATATAATCTGCAAGTAAAGTTTTTTATTTAGTTGCAACCCTCAATTAAATTAAAAATTGAATTTTAGACACTGGCCTTACTTACTGTATATTGGTCACCAGATAATTTAGCTATTACTATACTGTCCAGTTGCCAAGGCCAGTTACCTTCTGTGCTTATTTTACTATCTGCTCTTTTTCAAGCTATTATAAAGAGCTTCCAATAGTCAAGCCAAGTTTTGCATAGGGTTGATCTCATATTAAGCGCTCTTATCACTGTTGTGTTCCTTTCATTATGCAGTCTAATACTAATGATCTCTCTTTCAACCTTTGTCTACCAGTTGTCACTTGTACAGAGCTTTATTAATATAGAAAGTAGTCTGGTGTTTATCATGTCTTTTAAAATTGGAGCATTGAGGCCTCCATCCTTGATGTCCAGTTAAAAAGTTGAATATTTTGGGAGAAACTTAAAATTATTTTTGATTCATTTCCTTAAAAGATTCTCGATCTCTGCCAGTTGCTTTCTTTTGGGCAGCGCAAGATACAAGATGTACCAGATTTTAGAGATTAACAATGTTTTGGCAACAAGAATTCTACCTTTAAAGAATAGATTACGTTGCGAGAGGCTCCTTATATTGTCCTTGAGTTTCATGACCAGTTTTGATCATATGCTTCTGTTCAAATTTCCTTAAGAGTTTACATCATATCTGAGCACTTTAATTGTTTTATTTTCCGTTAGCATCTTGAATTTTTGTATTTTAAGATGCTTAATTTGTCAGAAATTGAGTATCAAGGGAGCGATAACTGATTTATTCCTGTTGATTTTTGCATTAGATACATCTTTATATTGTTTAATCAGACTGGCAAGAGTATCTCATTCTGCATATGAAGCTATGCCCAAGATAAGATCGTCAGCGTATGCTGTCAATTTGAATCTTTGTTGATTTACTGGTATACCTATTAATTTCCTATTAAGAGTCCTTAAAAAAGGTTCAAAGGCTATTATATACAGGAGGGGCGAAAGTGAGTCTCCCTGCCTTACCTCATGACTAATCCTAAAAGGTTCAGAAAGCATACCAATGTCTAATATATAGGCTACTTGTTCAGTAAAAAGCGTTCTTATTATTTGTATAAATTTGGGATCAAATTTAAGTTTTGTTAACACCTTCTGTAGATATTCATGATTAACACAATCAAAAGCTTTTTTTTGATCGAGAAATAACAACCAGCACTGGTCAACTTGTTTGTTCTGATTCTTCATAACCATCAGCACGTCCAGTATCGAATCTATAATAGACCTCTTTTGAATAAAACTTTGTTGATAAGTACCTATTATTTTCTGACAAATAACGTTAAGCCTATTGGTTATAATCTTTATAAAAATTTTGACGTCGCAATTCATTAGTGATATAGGTCTCCAGTTACAAATATCTGCCAAGTCCTCTAACTTTTTTGAAATTAGCATTATTATATTTTTGCACCATGTGCTTGGCATTTGACCTCTATCGATAACTTCGTTAAAGATCCTTTCCAGTACTAAGCTAACTTCCTCCACTATCTCTTTATAGAATTCGTATGTAAACCTGTCTGTCCTAGGAGCTTTATTGTTAGGAAGACTTAATATGACATCTCTAATCTCGTCTTTTAAGATATGTCTCACTAGATTGTGATTATCTAAGTCTTCTACCTGTAGGAGTAAGCTTGTTATTTCATATACTGCCTTTTCATTAATTCGTTCAGCTTGATACAGTTGCTCATAATGATTCTTGATATCTTAACAGGGTTAGAAGCCTTTAAATGATTTGAAATTTTAACTTTATCTGTCACTGATACACTGTGCCTTATTTTATATCAAGAGTAGAAGTACTTAGTCAATTTTTCGCTCTTTTCAATCCATCTAGCATTAGAATGGACCTGCCACTTATTAGCTAGGTTAACCAGTTCATCCTATAACTTCTTTTCTAGCTTATCAACTACCAACTATAAGTCTGTAAAGTTTTTATCTTTGGCTATTTTGCTTTTCAGCATCATTATTTTCCTGTTTAGTTTATCAATGCTATTCTCAGAGGACTTGAGGAACTTTCTTGCTCTAATAATGGATTGAATTCTACACTTACAGCGGTTCTATTTCTTAACTTCTTTAGCTAAGAACAACTCCTCTATAATTTCCTTACACAGAGTCTTATTCTTTAAGCATTTAATGTCCACCTTCCAATACGCTGCTTGTGTTCTATTTTTGGAAAAGTTTAGTTCGCTTTCTATCAGAAGATAATTAGAGTTCCCAAATCTAGTAAGCATTTTTTTACAGTACTATGCATAACATTCATCGATAAAAATATAGTCTAGTCTCGTGGCCATTGTGTGGCCTCCTCTCATTTTTTGAAAGAATGTGAGGAACAGTGTTTGATGTGAGACTACTGCAGTATCCACAAAATTTCTGGTCAGTCTTTCGAGCTTTTCCTTAAATAGGTCGTTGTGTTGTGGGGTATGACTTATTCTGTTAGTACTTGGATCAATATTTATGTTAAAATCACCTACGACAATATTAACTGCATTGTCATTAGTTTGTATTTTCTACAAGTCAAAGAATCTTGCCCTTTCATCTAATGCCAGTGGGGTGTAAATATTCGTAACTTGAAACTGTCATTTGTTGTAAAAAAAAATTAGCATCTAGTACTCTACTCTGATGTGAATCTTTGATATTTTCAAACTTAATAAAAGCATTTCCAGCCAAAATAGCTATCTTTGTTGTCCATATTGAATCGAATGCCCATTAATTTTTCAGAAAATTCCTTGTGCTTTTATCAGTCAGGTTTGTTTCCTGAAGTATAATTAAGTCTAACCTATATTTCTTTAGCAAAATGAGTGTCACTTATCTCTTATGCCTGTTATTCAACCCCTTGATGTTTAAAGTGGCGATTCTAAAAGTGTTTTTGAGATTCATTACTATTTTTAGTTAGGGATTTCACACTTTCAGTGCCGTCTTTATCTAGATTCATATTAGTTCTGATGACTATTATGTGATGGTCTAGAATTCCTATATAGCTTAGTTCTATTATCTTGTAGATACATTTTTTTCATTGATTTGTAGACTTTGCTGTTGGTTTTCTTGTAAATGACTTTTGTAAATCCATTATCAGTTTGTATATATTTCTCATTAGCCTTATATAATTGTGGTTGTACTTGCATATATATATCATCTGAAGCCAACGACTCTATATTATTTGGGTTATGATCTTGTATTTGGTTATTTGATTCATTAAAAAATTCCTCTACAGATGATACATCCTTCCGTACGTTCTCATTGTTTTTGTCTAGCCGTATTAAATCATCCAACCCTTTTTGACTCATGTTATCATTTCTGCTATTTTCTATTATTTCTTCTAGTGTTTCATCATTTTGTGATAAAGTCTCCATTTTTTCATCATCTGCAATGTTAATATGAGCTGTTACTTCATCTACTTCTTCATCTCTTACGTTGTAGTTAACATCATTATGGTGATTTAGGTATATTATCAGAACTAAAGTAAATTCTTCTGATTTTGTCTTATAGATTCTTTATATTTTTTATAAAACTTTCTCATTTCCATTGCCTCTTTAAATTGGGAACAATCCTTTTTGAAGTGACCAGGTTGATCACAATAAAAACAGAGTTTGAGTGCTGCCTTTCATTCAGTCGTAACTTTCTGTCCCTACACACATGTATGTCTTGATATCTTTGGTTCAATTTCTGGGTTATCAGTTATTTTATATAATATGATCTATTGATCAGTACATACCAATGTGTCCTCATACACCAATAGCTTAATCGATTTAATGTTTTCAAAATTTTCGAATGCTTCCTTTAGCTTATTTGAAATAATGGTTTTGTTACCAATAGGTACATTTTTTACTTTAACCATTAGATGTATTCTGCATAAATTTGTAAGTATGAAGCCTAATAATGTTCTGTTAAAAAGAGTGATGCTCTCTGACACATAATGTAGCTGTTTCTCTTCATTGCTAAAGACAACTTCCAGATACGTTCATTTTCCTTTAATGAAGTGAGGTTTTGCTTCAATCAGGTTGTCTTCTAACTTGCTATATATTGTTGAAATAATAACGTTCATTAAGATGTCGTTTAGATTTCGTATATCCAAGATTAGAGCATTATTGTTCTTGGTTGAGATATTATTTCTTGATGTATATTTTAAAAATGTAGCTTGCCCTTTTCTTAACTGTGTGAATAAGCTAGACCAATTATTATAAGACTTAGTGGTCTTCTCTGGATGCTCTACCTTATTTGCTCGATCCCCAACTCTGTCCCTACATTTACATTTTGTAGCTGAGATACAATTTCTATATCTACCAGGTCAGGTGTATTTACATCATGTGATCTCAGTTCAATCATCCTTCTAGACTTTCTATATTACTCTCTGTCAGGGCAGCTTTTTCAACCTGTTTTCCCAAGACCATTGTGTCTCTTCGTGTTTGTTCTTCTTCGATCATATCAAACCATCTATTGGCGTCCTTTTCATTGCTTGCTAAAGGTTTATTCTTAGATTTGTAGCTATCTGCAACAGAGCTGAGATTTTCTTTGTTATCAGTCATGTTATTTAACTTTGATCTAGTATCGTGAATTTTTGATATTTTAACACTGTTTATTTTGACCAACCACTTCTCAGACTTTCTTTTCTTCAGTACAAGAGCTCGTGCTTCTAAAAAAAAGGTGCTATTCTTATTAAAAGTTTGGACTTTTACTACTATTTTGCCTTTGTTTCCAGCACTCAATCACTATGACTGGAAAGAGTGCTTGTTGATCCTCCTTTCATGTATTAACAAATTAAACAGTTGCCCATTATAAAAGTTTTAATTATTAATTATGATATACTTTAAATTTTTAATAAATACACTAACAGTTGATAAAGTTATATTAATAAGAAAAACAAAGATATCATAATTGAATTTATTTTAAAATATTTAAGATACACGATATTTTATTGATATAAATATACAATATATATATAATATATCAGCAAAAAATAAATATAAGATATTGCAAAAGAATTTGTAATACTAAATTATTTTAAAATTATTACAATTAACTAAAATATTTTGAAAAAATAATTTTGAAAAATTTTGAAAAAAATTTCAAAGAATTTGCAAAATATTGCAAAAAATTTAATAATATAAGAGATAAAAGTATATTGAAATATTTCAAAATATTTCAAAATATTTCAAAATATTTCACAATATTTTGAAATAATTTAAAATATTTTTAAAAAAGATTTTTATAGAATAGATCAAAATATATATAGTAGTTTAAAATTTTTTCTAAATAATTTTTTTTTTTTTTTTTTTTTTTTTTTAAAAAAAAAAAAGTGAGGCTGTGCTTCTGTTCCTTTATTAGAATTCATATGATATTATAAATGTTATTACAATACTTTATGTTTTCTAATCTATATGAAATTAAAGGCTAAAGCTACTTTACTTTTGACCTAAGC